TGGCATGTCACCATATTCTAATTTGTTGAGATAGTGAATTGGTGGGTTTTTGTTAAATGTGAGCCAAAATCATCACAATTAAAAGAGCCAAAGACTTAAACTACTTCAGTCTGTGTGCATTGAATTTATTTAATACACGAGTTTCACAATTTGAGTTGAATTACTGAAATAAATGAACTTTTCCACGACATTCTAATTTATTGAGCTGCACCTGTATATGAAGGTCTTATCGTCATTTTTCAACTTCCCACTGGCCGTCCAACGGGCCTCACCAATGCCAAGGATGTCAAGATGATAGCGATCAAATTCTCCCAGGAGTTGCGCCAATTTGCCGGTTTGGTATAATGTCTGGACGTTCAAGGTAGCGAATCGAAATGATGACTTGGCATTGAGGAACTTGCCGTGCATCAGGGATCGGACCTTCGAATGACTTTGTTCCGACACTGTCATCCATGGTCGGCAGTCATCTCCGCCATCAAAAGCACAAAAGAGATCACTTCTTGTCGTTTCTGTAGCAACAGAGGTTTTTATGGGGTGGGGTCGCTGGCCCCACGCCCAGCCCTCCTCCTTTACCCGGGCTTGGGACCGGCATGGGGTAAACCGAGGAAAAAATGGGGAGAGTTTTATATATTGAGGTGTAGACGTAAGTGGTATACATCACCATACCTCACCGGCTGATTGATTACTAGGGGTGTCGAAATTAATCGTTTCTTCGATGCATTGCAATGCAGACGAGGACGATTCGGTATCGGTTCAGTAATAGACCATAACCGATTATAACATACTGACGTTTTTCTGACGTCATTTGTCGCATACGTGCTTTGTCGCGGTAGCATACATTAGGCGCGTTCGGCTTGAAGCGCCGTTGCGCAGGAGGATCAGTGTATGACCAAGTACCGCGAGAGCGATAAGAGAGCAGACGGATCCGTATGCTTTCGTGGTTGATGTCATATACTCATCCTGCTTCAAATCGAACGCGCCTAATGGCGGAAGGAGGCGAGACGCGGGTAATTAACAATGCTCCAACTACTTTAAAAGTTGACATCTGGCCACATTTCGGCTTTTATGAGCAACCTGAGCACGACCTGGAGAAGACACACGCTGTGTGTAAATCATGTCACGCACAATGCAATATGTAGGGGGTAGGGATGGGCAAATTAAGCCTTGTGAAGTACTGAGGCTTTCCTCTGACTGTTTTGGGAAAAGATTCAAAGCTTCGAGTGTCTCGAAAACAGCGCCATCTGGTGGTTCATCAAAAATATAGCAGCCAAAAGCCTGTGAAGGACGCTCCGCAGGACGAGGCATCTACCACATATTCCAAAGATCGATTCAAGTTTCGTGCACAAATAAAAGCCTAATAGTGTGTGTGTTTGTGTTTGTTGAGTTTCTGATAAATTCATTTACCCATTAAACTGTGCAATTTAATACCAGTACGAATATCAATATGATGTAATAGAAGAATAATGTACTCATATGAATTGCATATGACAAATATTGAATTTTTCTGAAATAATTTGTATTCTTCATATTACTTGTATGACTGGGTATCCAAAATGTAACAAAATAAGTCCGAATTAAAACTTATTCGTAAAGTAAGATCTGGGGGATCGAATATATCGTAACCGAACCGAACCGTGAGACCAGTGTAGGTTCACACCCCTATTGATTACATTCAAAACTTAACATTTTTGTGCACATTTTCTGAGATGATATATTAAAATATGCAAATGATGCATTAAATAATTAAGTATGCACTCATTTGTGTGCATTTCCAGAACATAAATCTGAACTTTGGATAAATTCAGGATCAAACTTTTTGATTTTGTTGTCATTTTCCAGAGGGGATTCTGGATTTCTCTTTTTATTACTCCATAAATCAGAAAATACTGTCAACAGACAGAAAACAAACACATTCTCACCGTGTTTTTAGGAGTGAAATGTTGTATAAATCAGTGTGAATGAAATATGAACAAACCTTCAGAATATAGAGAGGAATAAAACTGTAGTTTGGTGTTTGCAAGAGAAAAAACTCTTTAAAGATTGAAATCTACAGACGCATATAAGCGCAATAAAATAATAAAATGTAATGATATGGCCAAACAGACCTCAAATTGAATCGGTGCAATAAAAAACACTGGTTGTATTTGTAGCGTTTCACCAGAAATGTTATTCGTTTGCATACTGCTGGGTCTGTGCAGTTCACAGTCATATGAAAGCGTGAATATGAATGAGTTCGGATGTCAGATGATTGACAGCTGTCACTCTCTGTCTCAGACGTGCCAGCCAGTGGGATGTACTTCATGACGTACGAGTGGCTGAAGTACACGCTCACGCCGGAGGGCAAGAGGTCAGTCAGATCACATGACGGCTCTTGTTAATAATTACATATGCAAACATGCCCTACATTGATCACGTGTGTGACTGTGTGTGTGTATGTGTATGTGTGTGTATGTGTATGTGTGTGTGTGTGTGTCTGTGTGTGTGTGT